ATTCAATCAGTTTTTAAAATTTCTCTTTGTTCTGATTTGGCAATACTCTGCAACGGGTGCACTAAGGATGAATTAATTCAACCTTCGAATCTGAAAATACCACTAAAAAAATCGTGAAGTTTTCGGTGGTAACAAAACAGCCTTATTGCACTTTTTGGCCGCTACGAATTCATCGCATGTGTTTAATGCTGTAAGGATTAGATTTTGCTTGTTGATAAAACGATTTTCATAGAGACCTTGCAACTTCGATCACAGACTGCAAAACTGAATAATTGCGAAAGCTTGGCTTTTTCTTCGCGGTTTGTTGGTATTGGGCAATACTCTGAGGAGTGCCATACAGGGCTGGCGAGATAAAGAGGTGAGATGAAAAAACAGTTCAGGAAAATCCTGGTTAGAGTAGGAAACCAAAACCCAGCATCTAAAGCCAAAATAAATATTCACTTCAACATTTAAGCATTTGAAAACCAGCATTCAGGCAAACAAGAAATAAGTGCGAAAATGTAGTTTCTGACGTTTTAAACCATGGGTACGCAATCGGTGGCACGCGGGCCAGATCCGACCTGCGATCGGTTTTAATCTGACCCGCGGAGGGAATTCGAACATAGTGCCTAGCCTAAATAGATGAATGGGGATTTGTATTCCGCCATGTCTCGGCACTCTCATGAAAATAAATACGCAAGCGGCTAACAGAGGTAGTCTGGAAAATACTTTGAGACACTGTCAGTGATATAAATCCACATTTCAACAATCTTGTGCTAATTAAGCCCAGAATGCGCATTACTCTGTTGCTGCTTATTTTTGTATTGAATGAACAACATGATAATAACTCATCTTCTATGTGTTTTTGCACTTTATGTAAGTGCAAAACGCATAATTTCGAAAGAATGCATTTGTGTGTGTGCGTGTTTGTTTAGAAGCGATCAAATTTTGTCACTTACTTTCATCTTAACAACGGGGAAGAGTTACGATGCAATATTACCGTCCTAGCCCCTTTTCGTTCGCCTGCAAGAAATGATCAAAACAAAGGCACATGAGTTGCACGTGTTAAACTGTGGAGCAACAAACACTCATTCTGTTAACAATCTGACTGCTTCAAGTTTATCGTGAAAATGCATGATCGCAGAGCATCAGGCTCTGCCACCTGAATTTTATTGAAAGGTGGCCTATGAGCTTAAGTAAGTATGTAAGTCAGGCCCGCGTTTCGCCAGAGGTTGCCCATGTCTGCTTTAAAGCCTAATGCATGCAAAACAGGTCATTAACAGACAGAACTGAAGTATACCCCACTGTGTTATCATACTATCTAAATTTCTAATCAGTCTTATCAGCTATATTAACGAGTTCTTATCAGCTACTATCGATCGAAGAAAACCAGTGGCTGTGATCATTGCTGCAAATTTAGCACATTAATACGTAATGAAGCTCTTTACGGGTAAATCTTCACTGTCGCTACTGATACTGCTATTTCTCCTGTTATTACTGATTTCATCGATTCCTTATGCTGAAGCTTGTCTGCTGTGTTTCTTACGACTACCTCCAAGGCCGCGGTCCATCGATCATCTCTGGTTGTCGGCTCTCGAAGACGTCAATCTTCCGGATACGGCTGCCGAAATGTGTCAAATTTCGCGTGATCATTTGCCATTTCGGCCGAAATGTCGCCAAGGTTTGGCGAAAATTTTTTGCTCACTATCGGATTTTCTGGACAATAACTGGAAGGAATGCTACTCAGGCGGAGGCGAAGATGGTTTTTTGGAATGCGCCAACTGCTCATTAAGCAAACTGAAAATCCTGCAGCAAACATCTTGGGTTGTTACATGTAAGTTCGTTTGTTTTTTTTCTGCAAAAAAATTATACTACTTTGATATTTTGATCAGCTGTAGTGTATCTTTATAGTTTGCTAAAGATACACTACAGCTGATTAAAACATCAAAGTAATATATTTTTGCATAACACTCCCTCCCAGCTGTTTCTATCGTTGAATTTAAATCATCCGCTCCTCAGCCCTCAGATGATCCTGGCCTTTGTACCTGTGCTTTTTTTGTTTTCCGGTTTCTCTTCGTTTTTTACTCAGAATTCCTCTGCTTCCTTTCTTTATTTTTTGGAGCTTTCCTGTTTTTTTTTATCTTTCAAAATTCTTTCTCACATTTTTCTTTGTTTTCCACGAATCTTTCTGCTTTTTTCCTTTGTTTTTCAGAACTTTTTTAATTCATTCTTCATTTTTACGAGGAAATTACTAAGTGTTTTAAATTAAAAGTTCAGAAACTTTCATATTTTGTTAACTTAAAAAGCTTCGAGATTATCGTGTTGGAAATCAAATCAGAGGTTCATAGCTATTAGCTGTTAGTATCCTAACCACTGAGTCCTACATGGACGTTTTACATGAAGCAGCATTATTTTTCTGTTTTCTTTTTTATTGCACTTCCAAAGACAAAAATCGCTACACCCTTCATTTTCACTATTTATGCGAATCGGAATCATACGGAAGTATTCGCAAGATAGTAAACGCCAAAAGTAACCTCTAGTGGAAAGACTATCGATGGTTCGCTTTTGCACTTTTTCGACAAATACCATCCGCTAGACATCGCTGCGGCAAATTTCTGGCTTTTTTTTTTAAGTTAAATTAAGTTTCATGAATTAAATATCATGAATCGTGCAAATCAGATATCGTGAATTAGATCCAGTCGTTCTAAACTTCATGACGAGACTCATACAAAAAATACAGTAGTGGAGAATCACCTTTAAGAGCTGAACAATTTCGGGGTCTGGTTATTTTGAAAAGAAATATTTTCCGAAAAAGTTGGTCTGCAAATCTTAAGTGTGTCCGGTTTAAGTAAATAACTAAATTTACAGTTAGTTTCATTTGCAGGGTTGGATTCGTTGGGAAAAATGCCACCAGCGGTTAGTGAAGGCAATTATTACTGGTTGGGTG